GGCAGTACAACGATGCTTTACGGGATGCTATACAACTGCGGTGGTACGCGAAGTCTCGCTCCATTGAGGTAATTATTTACAGCACCATGTTTCAAAATCTGCTAACAAACGAACGACAAAACCCCGCGGGTTTTTTTAGGATTCGCGGGGGAGGGGGGGAGTATTCCAGGGGGGGGGGGGGGAACCCATTTTTACCTGGCGGTCCCGGTTGACCTAGTAACCAAAAATTAAGTGTTTTCACATTGTTTTTAGCAGAGTTTCAGCCGATTGTAATCGGAAAAAACTTTTTAAAAACCTAGAAAACCGCTTCAAAAAGTCGAAAATTTTGTCATTTTTGGGTCGAAAAATTGGTTTTCTACCTAAAATTAAATTTTTGAACTATAATTTTGTACAGTTTGTATGTTTAGGAATAGCTATAAACAATTTTGAAACACTTCCACTATTTATATAAAAAATCTAGGCTTGTGCCGAAAAAAATTTGGTCCCGCCCCCGAGAATACCTCCCCCCCCCCCCGCGAATCCTAAAATACGTCATTTAACTGTTTCAGATCTACCCTGTACTGCGCGCAATTCGATGGATGGGAAAATTTTGGTGTAACTATCCTTACGAGACGCGCACCCCGCGCATCGTACGGATGATCGGTGGCCGGCCGGAAGTCTTCCAAGTCACAAGGGTATCGTCAAAAAGCTCACCAATTGCCTATGTGCAACCATTTTCAGGCTTCACTGCTAGGACCCACGACACGCTCTGTAGGTCTAATCTCAAAAAAATCAGAATCTCGAAATTTTGGAATTTTGAAATTTCAGTATCTCGAAACGTCACAGAAAAAATTTTCTAAATTTGCGCGCTGCGGGCGAAATATTGTGCTAAAATAACAGCGCCGTGGGCTAAAAAATCAATAAAAACAGGACCGGAGACGAAAAAATCATAAGGGGGCCCGCCGGATTTCGGGGAAGGGCAGCCTGCCCCCTCTGCCCCCCCCCCCCTCCTACGCCCCTGCTATCAGGTAATCGAAATAAAAGGAATTATAATTATATGAGTTTAATACTAAATTAAATCATGTTTCTCTCTCCTATACTATCTCCTTACTAAATCAGTTACTCCATTTTGGAGTTTGGCTAAAAAGAGTGAAAAGTTTGGCCTGTCGACGCCCTTGTCTAACTGTAAAGTGTTATTACTCAAGTTGGGGTTTCGATTCGGGACCAAGTGCATCCCGAGCAGAATTTTTCGCTGATTCCGGATGCGTTTTCCAAATTTGCTGCGGACTTTTATTGAAAAAGTCATTTTTGGTACAAATTAAGCTTAGAAAAGCCAAAAATTCGGATTCTGACCCACTATTGCCTCTTTGGTTCTGTGCTGCTAGGGGCCCCGGCTGACCAGTTGGCACGATGGTGCATTGGCAAATTCGACACCCCGCCCTGCATCACTCCTTTTGCTTTTTGCATAACAAATCGATTTTTTATCAAAAAAGCTGGTTTTGGCGTTAAGATGCCTGTCTAGCCAATTTCTACCCAATTTAGACGTTCGAGTTGATCAAGAAAATCGAAAACGATAACGGTTCCTTGATTTTGATGAAAAACACTACCTTAATTGCTGTATAACTTTCAAAATAAAAGTCCGCAGGAAATTTGGAAAGCAAATTCGGAATCAGCAAAAAATCTGCACAAGATGCACTTGGTCCCGAATCGAAACTTGAACTTGAAGAAAAACACTTTACAGTAAGCAGGAAATTTACACTTTTTGAGTTAGGGGCCTCATTCGGAAGAGACAATTTTTATGAATACGGTGGCGGTGCTTGTTTTTCTGAAAGTTACCCGTTGTTTAATAATACCCAAAACAGAACAAGGTAATCGAGGTCGAAGTTTGGCGATATTAACTAAGGGATCACTGTAGAAAGTTAGACAAAGTTAGAGAGTGAAGTTAGCTGTAGAAAGAGTAGAAAGATAGGCCATCTCCGGTTTTAAAGATCAGTAGCAAATTTGGACAACGAGGAGATGACCAGCGCCGTGGATTCTACCTGTGTTTAATTTTTTCAGCCAATTCTGAGTTCGGGGGTTTGTTCGGTCTCTCCTAGTTACATTTTTATATGGTCGTAAAATAATACCCGAAACGCACCGGCAATTTTTGACGCTGCCTTTCCTGGCGAAATACCGGCGAATTTAGGTGACGGAATTGACAATGATTGCCGACAGAATTTGCCGGGATTCCTTCGAGCCATGGCCCACGCGGGCATTTATTTGGGAGAGTTACGTGATCGAGGAGAGCATGCCGGCTGTTTTGGTACGGTAACGAGATTCTAAACGGGTTTGCAGGCACCGGAATGCCCTCGTTCATCGGCTAGGTATCGACAGCCACTCTGCGCTCCAAATGACGTCTTTCAAACTGGCACCGCTTTTTGAAGCGCGGCGTATCGGTCTAGCGCCAGTCGACGTCAGGGCCAATTTTCGCAATTTTTGCGGCGCGTCGCGTATCTGTCGAGACCCAGTGGATGCAGGGGGTCGATTTTCGCGCGTCCCGGCGCCGTTAAAAGATGATAGATGGCGGATGTTTACAGGAATTGTTGCCTCGATCTCCATCATTACCCCCCGGTATTCTCATCACGCATCTTGGGGCATTCGAGGAGATGCCGGACGATCCTGTGCGGTTGGTTACGGTAGGTGCCGTTATTTCAAAATTTGTGCGAATTTGAGAATGGGGACTACCTACCCTAGGTATTTTTGTGCGCCAAATCGCGTTGAAACTTTGAAAATGACAAGAAAATCACTTTTCAAGCTTTCAAAAAGGCGATGAAATCTGGAAATTTTTCAGGATATGTTGTTGGATGAGGGTTTGGAGCCTTTGCCCTCAGATTGGCCATCTACCATCGCCTTTCGTGACGCTTTCGATCGATATGTGGCCGAGGTCAGCAGGAAAAACAAGGCGATAAAGATCTAATTTCAGGAATTTGGTACTGACAAGGGAACGTGGTTCTTTCAATGGCCAAATTCGGAAAAAGGTATTGAACCACGATCTCCCTCTCGCTCTCTCTCTCTCTCTCTATCTCTGGCGCTCCATAAGAAATACGACGTTTTTCAGAGGTGCTGTTACAACTGCGATACCATGAGGCCTTCCCGCAATACGCTCAAAAATTCCAACCCCACGTGACTATCACCATTATGGTGGTCCCCAGCTGCTGAAATCGACCACAAAATTCCTCGATCTCAATCTGATTCCGTTTCCATTTTCATGCCCTTTTGTCGATAAATTTTTTTCAATTTTCCGAAGCTGTTCTGCCACCTCCATCCCCTCCAATTCCTCAAAGAATCTCTGCTAGCCTTGCTCCGTCCATCCCTTCATCCCCCGCATACCGTTCATCTAGCTCCTTCCCCCTTCGAGTTATAGTTGGCTTCAGACGGACGGACAGACGGACACTACAGCAAAATTATTATAGTTGATCCTGGTAATTCTGTGAATTTCCCTCGACATGGCAATGCCGAAAATTTTTTGATCGGGATTTTAAAAATCTTGATGACAAAAGTTAGTAGTTATCCATCTAGTGCTAACTGCAAAATATCAGAAAGATCGGATGGTAAAGAATTTTTTCTGGAATTATTTCTCGAAAAAGTCCGGATCTTCCGAAGTTAAACCGATCGATATTCTTTACCACTGGTTTAATAGCGCACTCCGAGAGCTTCATTTTGATGCCCCTCATGCCGTGCTAACTCATCAAGAGCTCCATTATTTTTCTCTTCAAAGTTTTATACTTTTTCAAAAATGTTTAAAACTTTTTAACGACCCACTGGTCGTCAAAAAGCATAAAAAAAATTTGCTTGTGTTATTATTGTTCATGCCCGGCATATTTAAGCATTCTGGCAAGGTAAGCATGGTCCGATTCGTTTCCGTTCGCGAGATATTTCAGTGCAAACTAGGGACTCGGGACCAAGTGCACCTTGCGCAGAATTTTACGCTGATTCCGAATCCGTTTTCCAAATTTGCTGAGGACCTTGATTTTGCAAGTTATGCGGCAGTTATGGTAGTGGGTGCTTCCGTGTTAGCGGGGGAGCAGGAAATTATTTTTTGAGAAAATAGTTTAGGGCTCACGTAATTAAACTTAGACAAGTTTGCATAGCATTTTATACTATTTTTATTAAAAAATAAACATAAATACAGACACAAACATTTTTGAATAATTATAAAAAGTTTAGAAAACACTGACTTTTGCACCAAAACGTTTGAAAAATGACCAAAATTGATCAGAAACTTTAGATTTATATCATGTTCTAGTCAAGGTGCATAGTGTTTTAGTGGTCGGAAACTACTAAAAGCATTTTTAAACTATTTTTAATTTATTCTTATGCAGGCATGAGCCCAATCAAAAAATTTCCCTTGCTCCCCCCGTTAAAAATTTGCTCTGCCGCTAACACGGAAGCAACTGGTAGTGTTTTGCACCAAAATCAAGGAACCGTTATAGTTTTCGATTTTCTTGGTCAATTTCAACCTCGGGATTGGCTAGACAAGCATCGTAAGGGCCAAAACAAGCTTTTTTTATAAAATATTGGATTTTTTATGCAAAAAGCAAAAGAAGGATGCAGGGCGGGGATTGGACCCACCGCCCTGCGCTTGGCAAGCGAGTACTTTGCCAATGCCCCATGATGCCAACTGGACAGCAGGCTATGAGAGCGTACTTCAGGGCCCTTAGAAGCATAGAACCAAAGAGGCAATAGCGGGCCAGAATCCGAATTTTTGGCTTTTCTAAGCTTAATTTGTACCAAAAATTACTTTTTAAATAAAAGTCCGTAGCAAACTTGAAAAACGAATTCGGAATCAGCGAAAAATTCTGCTCAGGATGCACTTGGTCCCGAATCGAAACTCCAACCTGAGTAAAAACACTTGACAAGACATATGTTTCTCTCCTCATTTCGTTATATAATTCTCTCATATAGACGTTTCTAAATAAACGGTCGATTTCGAGAGCGTCGTGGAAGCGCAGAATATTTATCATAAAAAGGATAGTTTTTCATTGTGGGCGGTGGTGAAGCGTCGAATTCTTGCGCTTCTTGCCACGATTCTAAAAGAATAAAATTAGAGGATTTAAAATCCAGGAACGCTTACCTCCGGGGCAATTTCCTTCAGCTCGGCGTCGTCGACGTGGCCGAGCAGTTCATCTTTCGCCATCGTGAAGCGGCTCTGAAAATCGAGAATTAGACGATATCAAAAATATCCCGCAAACCTTTAGCCATATTTGGTACAAATGTTGCAGGGTGGCGCGCATCACCGGACCCGCACCCACGTTCACCGCCATCAGATCCGTGCCTAAAACGAGCGAGTTAAACTTTATTTAAACGGGTCACCGGGTTCTTTTGCATTATCGGAGGGGGGGGGGAGAATTCTTTCTAGAGGTTCTATTTTTGTAAAACAAATAGCTAAATTGTTTTTACAGTGTTTTTTGTTATTCCTAAACGGCAAACGTTACAAATTTTCATTAAAAACACAAAGAGTTTGGAGCAAAAATGGTGCATTTTCGCATAAAATTTGTAGATGAGGACATTTTAGCTAACTTCTAGCTAAATATAGTTAGTTTTATTTTACTAAAAACGTTAACAAAAACATTTTATTTTTTATTATACAAAAAATTCGGTCGCCCCGATAATGCAAAAGAACTGGCTAACACGGTCAACGAGCTGATATTCAGCCAAAAACCACGCAATGTCCGCCCCCTAAACGCTCCCAGCTGTTCTTTTTCGCAACCTGGGCGCACCTTTGGGTGGGCGTCAATTTATTTCGGGAATGGTGTGTTTGGCCGAATTCTACGAGGGAGAAAACGGCCACCAGTTTCCGGGTTTATCCCAAAGCGGCCTCGGGGAATCGAACCCGGGACGTATGGACGGTAGACGTCCACGTTATCCATTCGGCCAAGCAGATGCTCGTGGAGCGGTCCAAAAACTGACCCTTGACGGGAAAGACGGGCAGTTGCCAGGCCCTCAGCGCTTCCAGCTGCTTCTCGTCCATCAATGCGCCCATCGCCAGCTGCAGCACGCGGTCTCGGCCCGACATTTTGGTCGTTTCTGAAAAAAGTGAGGGTTTCTTCGGCATTATCGGGGGGACCAACTTTTTCCTAGAAGCCCGTAAATCCTTTGTGAAAAGCAAATATTTAATAGTTCTTAAAAGCAAAATTTAACTGACTTTGAAACATTTAAAAACTAGAAATTTTTCTATTTGGGTCGAAAAATAATTTTTTTTTGTCGTTTTTTGCTCAAAATTTGTAACGTTTTTACGTTTTGGGATCGTCCTCTCCAAAAACTGACCATGGCCGGGGCGTATATCCAATTCGACAATGCGGTCGTGCCACCAATCGTCATCCCCGCCGGCAATTGCTTCTTCAGCTGCTTTCCGCTCGCCGACCACCATTTCACCGACGATCCGCTCGACGTTTGATAACTGAAAAATCATAATATTACTAACAGTAACGGACGCTATTTCTCAATAAAAAATGGCCGAAACAAACCTTGGTCTTCGCGTGAAAGTCGGCAATTTGTTCGGGGGATTCGCAGAGGGTGGCCACCATCGTCATCGGCTCCACCTGAGTGCCATACCTAAAATATAGAAATCACAGTAAAAACTAAGAGACTGACGCGTCGTAGACCCTTCGGAAACGCTGCAGATCGGCGTTGGGGGGAAGGCCGAGATGAGGGTGAAGCTCACAGATGGACAGCATCGAATCGAGCACCTGGAAAATGGGTATTACACTGTTAACAGGGGGATCTAATAATAAATAGTTGATTTTCCAGTGTTTTAGTAATTTTTTAGGCTAGAAAACTGCCAGAACTATTTTTAAAAAATTTCAAAATTCCAAAATGTTGAGCTTTTTTGGTCGTTTTTCATAAATTTTTGACCACAAAAGCCAAACGTTTAAAATTTTTTGATTTTTATGAGCTTTTATACATGAAAAATGCGCAAAAAACCGTAAATCTCGCGCAATTTTCAAGCCGCTGCCAAATACAGCCAAAATACCGCACATCCGGCGCCCGTCTGCCGACGACAATCCGCTTCAGCTCGGTCCAAATTCGCTCGGGGCTCACTCCCAGCAGCCCGTCCCTGTTCTTCTTGATCGCCTCGATCGTCGCCGGGTCGTGCTCGTTGGTGTCGGCGATTCGGCCGAAGAAGCGGAAATACCTAAAAAAGGATAAAAACTAGACTGCGATTAGTTTACCGCAGAATTCGAAGATAATCTTCCTGGATGCGCTGCTCGGCGTCGCCGACAAACCGAATGCGCTTCGCCGCAATGTCGTCGATTCCGCCGAAAAAGTCGATGACCGTGCCGTCGAGGCCTGAAAAAGCGGAATTTTATCAAATAAAGCCCGCCAGCAACGGCACCAAATTTAGTCACCAAAGGAGCATGCTTAGCTTTAGCATAAGCCAAAAAGCCTAAACGATTATCCCTGAGAATGCGTACCCAAAAACAGCGAATTTACGGTCAAATCACGGCGGTTCGCGTCGAGCTGCCATTCGGTGGTGAACTCGACCTCCGCTCGTCGCCCATCGCACACTTTATCGACCCTAGAAGTATTTTATCACGACCCAAAATTCCCAAATTACCGAAGCGTCGTTATCTCAAAATTCTCGTCGTCAATGCGGCAGGTGATCGTGCCGTGCTCTTCGCCCCGTTTGTGCAGCATCCGGATCGCGCTTCTAAAAAAACAAAAATCTCAACAATTTTCAGAAAACTCACTTCTCGAACAACTCCTTCATGTCGGTGGGCGTGGCCGTGGAGGCGAAATCGACATCGGCCGGTCGGATGCCCATCAGAAGGTCGCGGACGGCCCCGCCGGCAATTCTAAAAAGTCTATAACCAAATTCTGAGACGCGCACCTTATCTCAAAGCCACTGTCATCGAAGAGGGCCCTCAGCTTTTCGAATCCCGACGTGAAGAGGGCGTGGAAGTCGGGGTTGTCCAGCTTCTGCCGCCGCGGTTCGATGATCTGGTTCACTAAAACAATCAGGTAAAATTACGGAAAATAAGCTCCTACTCGGAACAGGGACTATCCGCTTGCTCTGCTTGATGACTGGCTGATAGTCCGATGTGGAGAATGTTGAAAGCAATCTTCGTCCCGTGCGGAAGGGAAGTTGGAGCGAGAAGAGGCCCGGGGAGCAGAAACGACCCGTTTTTCTGCAAAAGTAGAGCTTTACAATTCGGTCAAAGCAAAAAAAGGCAGAAATCGAGTTTGGAAAGAACAGAGGTGGCAAGCTGTTGAGTAAAAATGATGCGATAGCCTCGATCGATAACGGCGGCAAAGGGAGGTCCGCAACGCATTTTCAACCTTTCCGACCAAAAAACGATATGCCGTCGCCAAAACGATAAAAGCGCGGTCCCGTCTCCGAGCGTTATAGCTACCCCGTTTAGCACTTCATCAAGACTGCGACGGCTACGCTATAATCGTACGTACTCGCGAACAGCGCCGCCCCACAACAACAACTCTCGCAAGCGAAACCCGCCCCAAAAACGGCATTTGAATACTCTGTGCAACTTTCGTAAATCTGCTTTGATTTCTTCCCATTCCTGCATGCATATAATTCCCTTGCGTTTCAACCATTTCTCGCGCCTTTCAGTTTCCACAATTTATAAAATCTAGGAAAATTTATTGAACAACAACAATCAATAAGCAAACGCGAAACGATTAGATGGCAGTGGAACCGGCGACTTCTTCAGCGGTGATCTTCGAGTGCGGCGTTGTTCGCTTCGGGCGTAGGGAGCGGAGCAGCTGCGAGACTTTGCGTTGGGCGACCTAAACGAAAATTGCGGTCAAGGAAAGGATACGTACCATGGCGAGCGAGGGCCTGTATCCGCTGACGATCTTCTGCACGGTGACGCGGGCACGCCTTCCATTCGTCTTGTTGAGGGGCTTGACGCCCAGGGAGCTGGCTGGCTTGCTTTGTTCTCGCGAGCGCTTCAGCACGAGTTGCGGGACGCCCCTCTTCACGAACTGAAAAAGATTATTGAATGATGAAGAATAAAAAGGAAAACGCAAATGCTACCCTATCATAGCCCAACGGAGGGCAGTGACTTGCAAGCGCGCAGCCCTGCGAAAAATGAGCGGCAGCACTCCAGAAAGCTTCAAGACATTCAAACCAGTCCAAAGTGAAGAGGAACAGTTTGCGAGCCCGTGTCAAAACCGAAAATTTACCTCAACTGCGACGGCCTTGTTGTTGACGAGTCCGTTGTAGCGCCGCGAGTTGGTCTTGGTCAGGTTGAAGCGCTCGGTAGAGAAGGCCTTGTCGATGTTCTTCCGCTTGACCAGGAACGCCGAGTTGTTCCGGATGACCTGCCAGGCGATGTCGGCCGACATGATTCCTGAAAAAAAAGATGAAATGAGCAAGAAAAAGAAAGCAAATGAAGAAGGCGAAGAGAGCAATTGATGGGAAATCATTGAAGAGCGCGTAGGAGAGGGAATTTTTCGGATTATTTTTGCGGTGAAGACTTGGAAAAAGCCGAAGTTCGAAAAAAACAGGCAACGAGGAGCAAAACAGAAATCGGTACTAGTATACTTTGGGGGGGCCAAAAAAATTTTTCGACCAAAATTTCTCATTTTCGATTATTTTGTTCAGCTTTTCATGCTGAATCCAATGAAAGTGTTCCCAGATTTTTTTATATCATGTTTTTAGCAATAATTAACTATTTATATTACAAGTAATTTCAATAGTTTTTCAGTAGTATACCGTAGCACAAGCCGCAGAAAAGCCTAAGCCGAACCTGAGCCTAAGCCAAAGCAGGAGCCAAAGCCTGAGCCTGAGCCTAGGCCAAAGCTTAAGCCTAAGCCTCAGCCTAAGCATGCGATCCATTCGCAACTTTTGGTCGCATGTAAAGGAGATCCACCCCTGCTAGTAATTGTTATTGTTGCCTAATTGTTATGTTCTAGCAAAAATAAAAAATCTGGAAACACTTGCATTCGATTCAGCATGAAAAACTGAACAAAATAGTGCAAAATGAGAAATTTTGTCCGAAAAATTTTTTTGGCCCCCCCCAAAGTATACTAGTACCCAGAAATCAGGCCGGCCGCAACATGGCGATCCAAAACTGTCGAAAAACCGACAAGTGCGGAAATTGGTGTGCCCCAGCCTTCGTCGACCAAAATGGTCCCGCGCGGAATTTTGCTTGTTATGATGTCATCTGTATTGTCGCGTAGTTCTTTTCCTTTTTTCTATTTATTTAGTGTCCATTTTCGCGCTGTTTAGATGTTTTTTTTGCTAAATTTTTCGTTTCTTTCTGATTCGTTGCTCATTTCCTCTATGAAACAGTGATTTTCAGATGTCGGACGCCAAGAAGGTCTCCTTCGCCGAACGACTCGAAGCGTCCGGGCTCAGCGGAAACGAGGATGAACACCGGCGCTTTTTGAAGAGAATAGCCGAAGGAGACGGGCCGCCCGCGAACAAGGAAACAGGAGATGAGCCTGCGGTGAAGGTGCCGAAACTCGACGATCAAGGTATTTTACGACCGATATATATATTATTTTCCTTTATAGATGAAGAAGTCGACAAGAAGAAGCACACACTTGACAGCGATGAAGAAGAGGACGAAGACCACAAGCGAATGGATTTACGCAAGGTATGGTGTCTGAATTGATCTTGAATTACTAATTTAGGTCGACGGGCAAGAAGATGGGACGATGGACTTCGAGGGCGACATCAAGATCACGCCATTCAACATGAAAGAAGACGAGGAAGAGGGGCACTTCGACGAATCGGGCAACTTCATTTTCGACAAGAAAGAGGAGGCAAATGATCCAACTTTTCTGAAAAATGTGTTTTAGGACCTGAAAGACGCGTGGCTCGACAACATTGACTGGGCGTACACGAAGAAGAAGGCCGGCGAGAAGTGGGAACAATACAAGGCAAGGCCTTCGTGTTTTCGCGAAATTTTTATTTAGAACGACGATGATCTGGACGATGTCCTCGCGCCAACACTTGACGATGGTCGCCGGAAGGAGATCTTCAAGTAACTTTCAAAAGGTTATGGAATTTTTGGTTTTAGAAGACTTATGGAGTTGCTAAAGCCGAATCAGACCATCACCAAGGCGCTCTCGGAAATTCGGAAGACGAAGAGTAAGTTTTTTTCCATGTTTTTCCAACTGATTTTTGCTTTTTAGAATTGACGCCCGCCGAGGAGCGAAAACTGCGCTGGGCGGCGAAGAAAGCCGGCAAGGCAATGGAGGAGAATCCCGACCAGGGCATCATGTCTGAACTGAGCGCGCTGGCCGACGAGCTGATATCTGCCGGACATGTGAGTTTCGTTTTCCACCTTCCACAGCTTACTTTTTAGATGGACGCCTACGAATGGAACCGCGAGAAGGTCGAGTTCAACTTCAAGAAGCTGGAGACTGTCGCCGTGGACGATTTGGATATGTTCGCCGACGAGCCAGCTCCCTCCTCCTCCGCGACGAATGATCAAGCAGCCGCGCTGGACGACGAAATTTTATGGGAATACAAGGTTTTTTACAGCTTTGTGACCCTAATATTTTTTTATTTCAGGATTCGGCAGACGGGAAGATCGAGGGCCCCTTCTCGTCGCAAGTGATGGCTGATCGACAAGCAGAAGGAAAGCTCGAAGCGAAGGGGCTCGCCCGAAAAGTCGGGGCTTCCGACTTCAACCCCATTGCCCGTATCGATTTTGATCTCTATTGTTGAGCGGTTTTTTTGTGATTTTTTGGATTTTGTCGCCGGTGCCCGCTTTGTGATTTTATACTATCCACAATTACACTACCGATATTGGTGCAGATAAAGTATTAACATTCCAGTTCTTGTATTGTTTTTGGGGGAAGAAGGGACGAATCCCTGACTGCAATTCTTTCCAGAAGCTTTCGTGCTTTCCGGCTCTCGAGGGGTGGGAGCCAACTTTTTGTATTAGCTCGTGTGGCTTCAATAATAAAATAGTTACCGCTTTGTAGATTTGTAGATAGTTTCAAGTGCCTCTGGGTTGTTGGCACGGGTGGGGAATTTACGAACAAAATATTTTGAAAAGTTTTGCCTTTCCGGTCTAACGTCTATGAAAAGGGTTGAAAACAGGCCAAAACCCTGCTGTTTTTACTGTAGTATGATTGTTCGTATAATTCCTGATTGCCGGAAACTCCTAAAACTAGATTTTTAACTAGGTAGGTATAGGCTAAACAAAGAAAATTTGGCAACCGCCCCCCGATAACCACGAAGCCCCGCAGCTTTTCAAAAAAAATGAAAACACGTTGCAGCGATGCATGATGAAGAATTCGACCCGGAATGCAGCTACAGCGGTGAAGAGTACGAGCGGCGATTGTCGAAAGAGCGCTTTTTGAAAAACAGTGAAAAGGTAATTGAATTCGATATTTTTCACCTTTCTCCCGTTTAGTTGTTCCATCGAGCGAAGCGGCGCTACATCTCCGAATCGGAGATCGATCGGAAGCTCGCCGTCCCGCCGCCTTTTGATGATGACGAGACGCAATGGCAACGAAGTTTCTTCAAGTCACAATTCAAGAGGGTAATTTCTTCAGTTGTCTCTGAAAATTTCCACTTTTAGATCAACGAGCTACGCGCCGAACATCAAGAAATCTCTCTGCAGCCCCGCTTTGCCAACATTTCGCCAACAATACTACACGAACCGCCGATTCCCGTCGACAGCAGCACTCCAAAACAAGGCAATTATTTGGTTAGCATTTCGTGAACATTTTGATCATCTTTTCTAGGTGTTACCCCCTCGCTTCAACGATGCAGAAGTGCACAACTCGATGATCACCGTCAATTTCTACCCAATCACTGCGAAAGACGTCTTCTATCTCTGTCTAATTGTAATCATCATTTTGTCTGCTCTGTACGCCTTTAATGCTAATATTGATGATTCGCGCGCTTTTCTACCCTATTAATTGTAAACAATTGACGTTGCTTTTACTTTTTTCTGTGGGTATGTATTTATGAAAGGTGCTTTTGCCGTGTCTGTGTGATTTTTTCCTTAATAAACTACCTCGTCTTCGCCCCTGCTTATGAATTCACAGCGTTTTATCAAACCCGTTTTTAGAGAGATGAGATCACAGAAGAAATGGCCGTCAAAGTGAGGGGGAAAGCCATAAACGAGCGCGAGCAGAGGAGATTCAGCCTCTCAGCCGGCCATGGCGATTCGTTGTACTGCTCGAAGAACCCGTGGTGCAGATCGTGCTTTCCGTTTGCACAGCAATTGGCCGAACTCCTGGATGAAGGTTGATAGTAGCACGATGGTTGAGATCACCTGGAAACGGTTTTTAGGGGTTGCTTCCCCAAGGAACTTTGCTGGATTGCCTTTGCGCAATATTTTTGCGTGATTTTCGCTCCTTGCTCAAAGGATTTCTGCTAGCGTGCCACTTTCAGGACTCTCAGGGGAACTCTGCTAGCTTTCCTTTGCTTATTTTAACTTCGTTTAGTTTCTTTAAAACCCACAATGGAAATGGAATTTAGAGTTGAAGCAGGCCGTAATGCGAGCAATGGTAGACGCAAAAAGCACAGACAGGACGTCGCGAATTCGGATGGGAGGTTCTGGAAATGTGTTTTTTTTCCGGATCAGCCGCGCTCGCGCTCGATTCAAAAGGCAAGCTAGCAGCGGTCGCCGGGGAATGGGGACGTCGCTCACCTCTGGTTTATCCTCCGAAATCTGCAGATCATAGCGCCGGTAGAAGCGGCATCTGGAAATCGGGCTTAGTATAGCGCGGGCCCTGGCGGGATTGACAATTTTGAGGTCTTGGTCTTGTTTCGAGCATGAAACGCTTTTTCTGTGCAAGTTTTTTTGCTAGAAGGTGAAGATAATCATATTTTTTGCAGCTATAGCGCCATCTTGCAAAGGGAAAAGGGCTAGCCTATGACTTTTCTCGCCTAAAAAATGGTGTAACCTTAAAAATAGTGCAAATTCACGGGCGGGCCAGGACACTAAAATTCCGCTGCACAGTTCCTATCGCGCGCCCTTGTGACCGTAACCCCCCAGAGCTCCCCAGAGCCCGTTCGCCTTTTCCGACCAGCTTTTCATCGCGTAAAAATATAAAAGGAAGTGAAAAACAAAAACAATAATAAAAAGCAAAAAGATAACTATTTTAATTAGAAAAACACTTTTTGAAAGGTACAATGGGAAAATACCCATTAGTTGAACGTTCTGATGAGGTTAGTTGTCTAGATGTATCTCTTGATGATAGGGAACAGTTGGCGGTGCGATAGAGAACAAGTTTCGGTGCCACATTTCTTTTAGCGGCCGATGCACTTAGTCGCGATTGCCTAACGTCTGACAGGTTGCAGAAACACGAAGGCGTTTCCTGGATGTTACGTGGACAAAACCGTATATGTAGGCTTGCCTACCGAAGCGAGCCTATGTTGAGCGACCATTGCATACGCTTCAGAAAAGAAAACTACAATGTTTACTAATTTTTTAGTTCATATTTTATAAAAAACGGCAGGCGGTTCCTCGATGAAGACGCTCTTCGGCGTACTCTCACTTCTGCTTGTAAAATTTCCAGCTCGTCATCTGGTTATACAGTAGCTTGAAGGCCGGCAACTCATACTATTCAAGTTGGAAGATGAACCATTCATTCGGGAGCTATAACGGAAAACGCTCTTAGGCTTAGCCTATGTCTGCTCGTCACAGAATTTTGGTTTCTCAGCCTGGGAAGAGAGAAGTCCAGAGAAGACGAAGGGTAGCGCACCTCAGGTGAATAGCTAACAAAATCCACTAAACTAATCGCAACATAACTAAATAACTAATCACGAGCCGCAACTCCGTCGTCGGGTCTCTATCATCAAGAGATACATCTAGACAACTAACCTCATCAGAACGTTCAACTAATGGGTATTTTCCCATTGTACCTTTCAAAAAGTGCTTTCCTAATTAAAATAGTTATCTTTTTGCTTTTTATTATTGTTTTTGTTTTTAACTTCCTTTTATATTATTTACGCGATGAAAAGCTGGTCGGAAAAGGCGAACGGGCTCTGGGGAGCTCTGGGGGGTTACGGTCACAAGGGCGCGCGATAGGAACTGTGCAGCGGAATTTTTGTGTCCTGGCCCGCCCGTGCAAATTCGCAGGTCCCGAAGACTGACACGGCAAGAGCGTGGAATTCTGTACAAAACCGGCTTCGTCTCGAAGCCGCGAAGCTGTATTCAACGGAAAATACTCGACACGGCCAAAGCCAATTTGACACGGCGCCTACCTGTGGTGTGCTACAATAAGTATTGCCCATGCGGTCCACAGCGCTGCCGAACAAATCCCATCAAATAGTAGATGCACGCACAGCTGCACCAGCGAGAGCAACTGAAAAGCATCAAGTTACCATAAATTTTGGTTCTTTAGCATTATCTAGGGGGGGCAACTTTTTCTTAGGATCTAATCTTTCAAACATAAATAGTAAAAGAATTTTTGAAACGGTTTTTACCATTCCCAAGTGTGGAAACCATAGAAATTTTTATCAAAAAAATGGATTTTTCCACCAAAGTTGCCAATTTCCCGGATTTTTTTACAAAAAATGCCCGATTTTTGACCAAATTTCATCTAAAAATTTTTTCCAGTTTTTAAAAATTGTTTTTCCACTTAAAATCCAGTTAAATTTTTGTTTGAAAACACTATTAAACGCTTGCTATTACTCAACTAGGTATTTCTCGAATAATAGCAAAAATTTGGGTTTCGAAACTGAGCGAAATTTCTATCGAAAGTTGTAAAAATCCGCAAGTACGTTGTTTTATTCACATCATAACCGACCGTGGCGTAAAAATGTAATTTTCGTAGCGAGGCGATGCACGAATCCACCGTCATCACAACCAAAAATTCTGAAAAAATGGAGTTTTGCTGAAATTTGGACGGATTGACCTTGGAAAATTAGTTTAGTGAGTTGTAGATCAAAGAGAGCGCATTATAGAGCGTGGAAAACGGGCAGAAAGAAAGGTTTTTGAGAGGAAAAATGGATGGAAAAGGGGATGACCTCTAAAATCGAACAGCCACAGCCACAGTCACCTTTTTGCGCGTTTTGCAGCTGGGAATGGACGGCGAAAGAATGAAAAGGATGGAAAGAAGCAATTAAAAGAAAGAAAGGGCAACAGCAGGGGGAACTTTTTGCATTTTTTTTTGGTTTCTAGAGCCCATCAATAGTTCCGACCGTTTTCGCATGCAAAAAAGACCGGTACTGGTCTGTTAGCGGGGGGGGGGGATTGCGGCGGGCTTCATTTTTCACAATACATCCACTAAATCCGGAAATATCAACCATTTTTATAGTATGATACATGGTTTTAAGTTATCAGAAAAAAACCAACCATGAAAATTTCGAAATCTTTTGAATTTTTGTCCCAAAAAACGTTAAAATCTTCCAAATTTCCAAATATTTTTGCATTTTTGATAATTTGCTAGCAATCAAAACTAGTAAAAACACCATAAAATACATTATATAGGTTATCAATTGGTGGAAAAGCAAAAATTAGCTTCCCCCAATCGACCCCCCCCCCCGCAAACAATCCATTGCCTTAAAAACTCTTTCGTTCGCTGCTTTATTCAACGGCATTTTTAACAGTGAGGAAAATGTCGAATTATTCCTATCTTTTACATGGGAAAAACCAAAAATTGACGTAAATAGGTGCAAACTGGAATAGTGAGTTCTCGGGTCGATTGAGGGTAGATGGCAGAGGACAGTCTCGAGTCAAACAGACAAATAGACCGGTTAGACAGCCCTATTGTATACCAATGGAACTCCCCACTCGTATTGGCAAATCGCACGTGGCAGGAAAATGTTTCCCAGATGCTCTCTGCTAGCATGCCCCGCGCGTTTTTGGGTTTTTAATTTCTTAAATCCCAAAATCTCTCTGCTAGCCTGCCCTAAAAATTCAAAATTTCCAGCAAACCCGTGGTCGATTGCAAAAATGAGAGGGGGTGACTGCCGGATGGGAGAGCATGGGGAGAGGATCTGGCTCGACATTTATTTTTCACCAAAATCGTGGCACACTCTTTCTCTCTCTCACTCTCTCTCTCTCTCTCTCTCTCTCTCTCTCTATCTCCCAATTAACAGCCATCTCAAATGAAACCGTCGCCAGAAACTGTCAACAACACCCACTTTTCTCTCTGTTGGCTCAGCTGATCCCTGGGAATGGCAAGGGGGGGGGCAGGCTAGCAGAGATTCTTTGAGGAATTGGAGGGGATGGACAGGGGCAGGCTAGCAGAGATTCTTTGAGGAATTGGAGGGGATGGACGGGGGCAGGCTAGCAGAGATTCTTTGAGGAATTGGAGGGAATGGACGGGGGCAGGCTAGCAGAGATTCTTTGAGGAATTGGAGGGGATGGACGGGGGGCAGGCTAGCAGAGATTCTTTGAGGAATTGGAGGGGATGGACGGGGGCAGGCTAGCAGAGATTCTTTGAGGAATTGGAGGGGATGGACGGGGGCAGGCTAGCAGAGATTCTTTGAGGAATTGGAGGGAATGGACGGGGGCAGGCTAGCAGAGATTCTTTGAGGAATTGGAGGGGATGGACGGGGGCAGGCTAGCAGAGATTCTTTGAGGAATTGGAGGGAATGGACGGGGGCAGGCTAGCAGAGATTCTTTGAGGAATTGGGGGGATGGACGGGGGCAGGCTAGCAGAGATTCTTTGAGGAATTGGAGGGAATGGACGGGGGCAGGCTAGCAGAGATTCTTTGAGGAATTGGAGGGATGGACGGGGGCAGGCTAGCAGAGATTCTTTGAGGAATTGGAGGGAATGGACGGGGGCAGGCTAGCAGAGATTCTTTGAGGAATTGGAGGGAATGGACGGGGGCAGGCTAGCAGAGATTCTTTGAGGAATTGGAGGGGGATGGACGGGGGGCAGGCTAGCAGAGATTCTTTGAGGAATTGGAGGGAATGGACGGGGGCAGGCTAGCAGAGATTCTTTGAGGAATTGGAGGGGATGGACGGGGGCAGGCTAGCAGAGATTCTTTGAGGAATTGGAGGGGATGGACGGGGGCAGGCTAGCAGAGATTCTTTGAGGAATTGGAGGGGATGGACGGGGGCAGGCTAGCAGAGATTCTTTGAGGAATTGGAGGGGATGGACGGGGGCAGGCTAGCAGAGATTCTTTGAGGAATTGAGGGAATGGACGGGGGCAGGCTAGCAGAGATTCTTTGAGGAATTGGAGGGAATGGACGGGGGCAGGCTAGCAGAGATTCTTTGAGGAATTGGAGGGGATGGACGGGGGCAGGCTAGCAGAGATTCTTTGAGGAATTGGAGGGGATGGACGGGGGCAGGCTAGCAGAGATTCTTTGAGGAATTGGAGGGAATGGACGGGGGCAGGCTAGCAGAGATTCTTTGAGGAATTGACGGGGGCAGGCTAGCAGAGATTCTTTGAGGAATTGGAGGGGATGGACGGGGGCAGGCTAGCAGAGATTCTTTGAGGAATTGGAGGGGATGGACGGGGGCAGGCTAGCAGAGATTCTTTGAGGAATTGACGGGGGCAGGCTAGCAGAGATTCTTTGAGGAATTGGGGGACGGGGGGCAGGCTAGCAGAGATTCTTTGAGGAATTGGGGGGATGGACGGGGGCAGGCTAGCAGAGATTCTTTGAGGAATTGGAGGGAATGGACGGGGGCAGGCTAGCAGAGATTCTTTGAGGAATTGGAGGGGATGGACGGGGGCAGGCTAGCAGAGATCATCCGATTCCTCAATGATCTTTGCTAGCTTGTCATGTGCTACTGAAATGGCTTTTTTGTTGTTATTTGCACTCTGCTCATCCCAAATGATCACTGCTGGCTTGCTCATTCTTTTGAGGTCATGCTCCTCGACGGCTTCTGCTTCTTCTGCTTCTGCCTGGTCGACCCGGGATAATGAGGAATTGAGGTCGAGGAAGAAGAAGAAGCCTTTCAAACGAGGCAGAGGGAGAGAGAGAGAGAGAGAGCGAGAGAGAGAGAGCGGTTCTCTCTTCCGAATTACCCTTCCGCCAGGTCCAGAGCACACACACAGCCTAATTGCTTTATACGGGGGTGGTGGGTGCGTTGAATTCGAATTTTGTGCGGAATTGTTGGCGTTATTTGTGTCCGGTGTGCGATTCATTTCCGCAAATGGTCTCTGCTAGCTTGCTCGGTCCTTAAAATTGACATCTGCATCCTTGGCTAGTCATTTTTGGCCCTAAACCGTCTCTGCTAACCTGTTAAATTTTCCCGAGACCATCCCAAATGGTTTCCGCCGGCCTGCCTGCCGCCCGGCTGGGTTTTGTTGGATCCCAAGTAATTGCTGCTAGCTTGCCTCGGGGTGTAAATTTCGAAAAAAGCCTCTGCTAGCAGGCCCGTGCTTCTGATAGTCACAGAAATTTCCACAATAATCTCTGCTAGCTTGCCATAAGTTTACTTGCCTATTTCCGCAATAATCTCTGCCAGTTAGCGGCCGGGGGGCTGGTGCTAATTGTTTTATGCGGCAGTCTTACGCCACACTCCTAATTTGCCAGCTTCTTACGGCTTATGACTGGGGGTCCAATCCCATCTGGCAAGCTAGCAGAGACTATTTGAGAAGACCGGTCCACCGGGTGACTTTTAGAACTTTTGTTTGCAGAAGAATTGGCCGGAGGGCCAGCAGTAATTCCAGCTTCTCCTCCACCCCTGGCCTCCCAAAAAGGGAAATGGCTTTTTTACGGGTCACTGAATTCTCCCCCGGGTGTTTTAATTTACCCACTACGCAACGAAACTCATTACGCACTCAGGAAGAGATCAGATTTTTGGTCTAGATATGCCGGAAATTCCTCAAAGAATATTTGCTAGCCTGCCCCCGTCCATCCCCTCCAATTCCTCAAAGAATCTCTGCTAGCCTGCCGCCATTTGGAAGCAGTTTTTTGCGGTGGGTTTTCCCCTTGTTTTCCATCCATCATAAATCGGGGGAAATCTCTGCCCATTCCATATGCCCATAATATTCTCTCTCTCTCTCTCTCTCTCTCTCTCTCTCTCTCTCTCTCTCTCTCTTTCTCTCTCTCTCTCTTTCTCTCTCACTTGCCTCCGATGTTATGGCCATTCTTTTCTATGGCCATAATATTTCCCGGCAGTGACGGCTGATGTCCCCCTAACTTTATATGTACGACGAATTTTTCTGTCCCGCTTTTTTAATGCGACCAGCTGCGGCAAGACTTCAATTGTTTTTTAAAGATGCAGCCGCAATTCGCAGCTTTTTGGCAGTATTTAGGCGCTCACCAAACGCTCTCTGACGCCCTAAAACCTGACGTTTCCAGGATTTCTTTACCCTGAGATTAATGCCCTCCGGGTATTTCTCCATCCTTCCCCCTTTTCTGGCGGCCATTTCCATCCATTTTAGATCGTCTATCTCTTTTTCTAAACCCGCGCGAGCTCATCCCCCTCCCGGCGAGAGATCTCTTCCAGATTTCAGAGAATAATTGTTTCCGGGATTACGGTAGAAATGATGATTTTTATGGCTAAAAAATTCAGCGCTTTGGAATTATTTTATGATTTTTTATCATGATTTTATCAACACATTTTTGACGCTTTTTAATGCATAATTTTTCAGCAGACGCTTCTTGCCTCTAAAAAATTTGGCGCTAAAGAATTTCAAAATAATGGATTTTTTTGGCTTGTTAATGTTGATCTTTCACACCTCTTTGACTTTACATTATTTCACGCTCTGTTTTAGCATTTTTTCGGCTTATTTCGAGCCCCAGATACCGTAGGCGTCGATGGGGATGGTGATGGGTGGTTGAGGAGGAAGGGGAGAAAGGAAAAAGGAGCAAGAGCCGGAGGAGGATGTATGGAGTGAGAAGTCTGCTCGAGGCCGAAGACGAATCGGACGTCGAGACTACGCAACAATACGGAAG